TATATCTCATAGATAGATAGATAGATAGATAGATAGATAGATAGATAGATTCCTCTGTTAATGAGGGGGAGACCAATGTAGGAATTGTCAACAACCATCACATATAACGTATTTTATCATAGTAATAATCTGTCACCAACACAAATGTCCTTTAAACGTCCCCGGCTTAGGCCGACCCCCACTTCCATCCAGAAATATGGCGCATGACCTGAACTTTAACCTCGGATATTTTTCCAGCCTCGTTCATCTGTTCGACAAACTGCAAATCCATCACTTAAACTTCTCGCGATAAACGACCTTGATATATAAGAAACAGCTAAGGGGGTGCGCAGTCCACTTGGTGGGGTGTACGGTTTCCCTTGAGGAGCTTGGGTCGAGATTTGGAACAGCTAAGTGAAGAGGGGAGACTGAAAACAACCAACCATGTCGGACGCGGTGGTCAGTTTTATGAAGGACTTTTTGGCCGGTGGCATCGCCGCTGCCATCTCCAAAACAGCTGTTGCTCCCATTGAGAGAGTCAAACTGCTGCTGCAGGTAACCAGACTGGACCAGCTGTGAGTTGCGCTGTTAATTGTGCATAAAGTGTGTGTAATTGGTGCATTACTGACAACCTATTCATGTGGAAATCACGTTAAAAGATGAAAAGTTCCATTATGCACGATGATGGTTCATATGATCTCGTGCGTAATGGCACATGATTGGATCAACGTGGAGATCCTTTTACGCACAGGTCTGAGGGATGGTGGGAAGGTATAATGGTGTTGGATCAGAATAAAACAGTTACATTATTTGTCCATGATGTTATTTGAATATTTTTTGCTTAGATTGAATGTACTTTTTGAACACATGCTCGTAATATGACGTAGAAAAGAATTGCTAAAATTAACCTAAAAGATGTAATCCAATACGCAGGGAAGTTTCAAGTGACTGGGATTTGCCTTTTAGACTACTGGGCAAACTAAAGTAGATAATCCCTGGGAGCTGAGGGAAATTCAGTGTCTCTGTTGAATAAAAAGGTTGAAATAAAGATTTTTTTTTCTGAAAACACACCAGGTGTAAACCCCTCTTGTTTATTCTCATTTAGGTGCAGCATGCCAGCAAACAGATCACAGCTGAAATGCAGTACAAAGGAATCATGGACTGTGTTGTTAGAATCCCGAAGGAACAGGGCTTCCTGTCCTTTTGGAGAGGCAACCTGGCCAACGTCATCCGTTACTTCCCCACCCAAGCCCTCAACTTCGCTTTCAAAGACAAGTACAAGAAGATCTTCCTCGGTGGCGTGGATCAGAAGAAACAGTTCTGGCGTTACTTCGCCGGAAACCTGGCGTCCGGTGGTGCTGCTGGGGCCACTTCGCTTTGCTTCGTCTATCCGCTCGACTTCGCCAGGACGAGGCTGGCTGCCGACATCGGCAAGGGTACCGCAGAGAGGGAGTTTACCGGACTGGGAAACTGCATTACCAAGATATATAAAACCGATGGCCTCAAGGGTCTGTACCTGGGCTTCAATGTATCGGTGCAGGGCATCATCATCTACAGAGCGGCTTATTTCGGATGCTTCGACACAGCAAAAGGTGCACAAACCAACCATCAACCAGTGAAATGCCTCCATCTGCTGTATATGTGCATTTGTAATGCCTTAACTTCCCTCCTACAGGCATGCTGCCAGATCCCAAGAACACACACATCTTTGTCAGCTGGATGATTGCTCAGACTGTCACAGCTGCAGCAGGCCTGGTTTCCTATCCCTTCGACACCGTCAGACGTCGCATGATGATGCAGTCCGGGCGTAAAGGAGGTGAGTTTCTCCCTGCTTGCAGCAGTTATTGAATCATTGACCAATTCGAGATATTAATGTAGATGTTTAAATCTCCTCCCAGCTGATATCATGTACAAGGGCACAATCGACTGCTGGAAGAAGATCCTTAAAGATGAGGGAGGAAAGGCCTTCTTTAAGGGGGCATGGTCCAATGTGATCAGAGGCATGGGTGGCGCCTTTGTGCTGGTGCTCTATGATGAGATCAAGAAGTTCACCGTCTAAGAAGACACTCCCAACCCCTCAAGGAAACCCCTACACTTTATTAGTCTTATTTTTTTTGTGATATGGTCACACCGACCTGGTGAATTAGGAATCTGGGTTTGTAGGCTACCTCTTCTGTGCAGCAGCTATGAGGGGGGAGTGGATCGGTGTACCTGACCTGGGTTTATGCTTCATTGCACGTGTATATAAAAACCATCAACCATATACTAAAAGGATGTCTTTTAGTTTTAACAGCTGGTGTACATGATGTGATGAGACAGACTATAATACAGGCCAAATGCTTCTCCTGTTAGAGTAAAGGAGCAGTGAAGGCCCCTATGATATGCTGTGACTACTCTGACCCTTGTATTCCACCTCACACATTAATTTATTAAGAATAAAGACTGTCTATAATCCAGACTCTGTTGTCGTGACGATCATTGCTTTAGCTAACATGTTTGGCTTTCATTAATCGCTGTGTTAATGGGTAAACCTGACTAATAGAACCTCGTAATTAGTTAAAAACAAAAAAACCAACATAACATTAAACTAAGGTCCAAAAAGAGCAGCCCTTACAAATACAACATTACATTTACAAGCTTATTTAATTGTTGATATTCCATTATGTCGCTAATGTGAAGACTAAGAAAATTGACCAATGGGCCTTTCACTCACTTCTTTGAATCCTTTATAGAACCACCTATTGTTTCAGCTACAGCTGAAAGTCTTTTTAGGTTATCTTTCTACAAACTATACGTCTTCTTTCTTAGCTGAACAAGACGAGCATTCCCACATCATGATTGCGCTACCTTCGTGTTTGAATGTAGGAAATATGCAGTGTCTGGTGGACTGCTTTACAAACTATCCGTTAACTTTATTCCTGACCAGTCATGTTGTTCTTGATGTTCCTAATGATGGAAACCAAGGACAGCATGGTAGAGGACTTCTCAAAGTGGCTTTTTTTGCTCGATCATATACAATTACAATAAAACATACCAACATATTTCTAATTTTCATGTTCTATCAGAATTAAAACCTTCAGATGATGCTGTATCCCAAAAACAACATAACAGCTATGTGATGCTCCATACATCTTATAGCTTTATGTCATCTTTTTACTACAGCCTGAAAAAAAAAAATGTGTGACACATTTATTGGCTTTGAAACAATCATTTGGTAGAATAAAAAAACAAACAAAAAAACATCACATCTGTAAACAACATCCACTCCTTTTTCCGTTCAGATATTAAACAGCAGCAACATTAAAGTGAAGTGACAACTTACATGTTGAAGCCAAAATATCTGCTGCAAAAGTGATTGTATTTAAAGGTTAAACTAAGGTAATAATTTAAATGGCTTTGATATCAAAGCATAAACTGCAGCATAACTGAACAAAAAAAGAAAGCAAACAATAGAGCAGCTTTATTAAACAATATAAAAGCTAAAATGTCCTAAGCTTTGCAGCATATAAATTAATCAACATCAAATGGCAGGTAATGTGCTTTGAAAGAACCAAGATGCTCTTTATTAGATGAGTTTTTAACACCAGGCAGGACGACTTGAGCTCAGTTTGCTTGAGCTGGGAGCAGATGTTGAACTGGAATTAGGGTGAGCGGCCCTGGAGCTGAGTGCCGTGGAACTCCTTAATGCTGGGAGAGAGAAAGAGGAACCCTTTTAGCTCATTTAGACATAAACAGTTATCGTTTTCAGCACAAACATTTCTACAAGTGAGTTATATAGTCTGCAAGATTCAGAAACTGTATTTAATCCTCATTGAGATATGATTTCTTGCACTATAATAAGATGGAGATGATCAAAATTAAAAAGCTATGAAACAGTAGGAAAATTAGCATGAAACAAGTGACTGATAAATGAACAAGTGATTCCCAGTAAGAGCTTGCAGCTGCTCCAAACGGCTTTAATGTCCTCTCTTTGAGGTAATTAAATCTCTGCAGCCATCTGGATGCAGCAGCTCAGATGTATCATAAAACCTGCAGCTTGACTTTATGAAGACTGCTGATGATCCTCCTTTTCTCTGATTTAAAATCAACAATCCCCATGAGCACCGCATGCAACAAAAAAGTGGACCTACAAAGTATTAACTGCAGACTTAATGTCCACCACATGCTTTATTTCTTTCTATGGGCGAAAAAGTTGTCATTAAATAGTTAAACACACTGATCATGATCAGCTATGAAGAAATTTACCAGAGGATGTATTTCTGGTCCTACTGCTAGAGGTCCTAGAGGCAGGATATGACGAAGCACCCACATATCCCTTCAGGCGCTGGTGGTCGGCCAGAAGTTTGGTTCGGCTAAGCCAAGGTGAGGGTTTGGTGGACTCTAGCTTCTTAAGAAGAGCCTGTAAGAAACAACAAGACCTTTATTCACGAACATCCTGCTAATAAATAGGCATTAATTATTTACACTAAACATTCTAAAAAGCGAGGGTGTTGGTGTCTTTAAATATACATTTAGCTCCTCTAGTTTAACCTATATGGAATAAGAGGTTTTATAGCTTTTTATCTATTTCACGTTTACTAGCATTAACATCTACATTAAAAGTTCCTCCAAAAAAAACATATTTGGCCAAATTATTGACCATTATCATATATATATATATATATATATATATACACACACAAATAAAAAGCATTAATTTTGCTCCAACATGGTTAAGCGAGAATAGTTTGGTTTGTTTTCATTATACGTAAATCAAATTAGATTTGACAAATAAAAAAGCAGGATGAATAATTTGCCCTATATAAAAATTATTTGGACTCAAACTTGTTCAATAATATTAGCTTTTTTTTTAAATAATAAAAAAAAAACTGTCTGTAGAAAAATGCATATACAGTAAAAAGTCCACACATGTAATATGCGCAAATTGAGTACCACAGGGTCCCAGTATATTGCACACACGAGAGTTTACTCTTTCTCTCTCTCTTAAGGTTTATTTATTTCAATTAAATACACCTTAACTGTAATAAGTAATGAGATTTATTATTATTACGGTATGGTTTTATAAGTTTTATTCACTCAGTGGCCTTAAAATATATTGATCTCTTCAGAAGCTCCTTGGAGTTAATATACCAGTTGCATTTTTAGTCCTTTATAAATGTTACATGTGTGATGTTCAGGGGAAAACACTGATCACACGGCAGATTCAATTACTCCTCTCTAAGAATAGAGGAGGCAAAGAGCACTCCTCACAAGATGGAGTTTGGAGAGAACAGTTAGTCCAAAAAATGACTAAAACTCCTCCTATATTGACAACCTTTGTCATCTTTAATCAATAACTAATATAACCTTTAATCAACACATGGAATAAAAGCATTAAACTAAAAAAATAAAGGGGATTATCACCGCAGCACACCATTAGCTGCCAGCTACTAATTTCTCTGTTTCCAGACAGATTCAGTAGCAGTGCCAATAATGTTAATTTGATTTAAATGCTAAATACTATAGTGAAAAGATGAAATATGAAGGGACTGGATACATCTGCAGAGTCTGAAAGGTCTCATAACGTGTCTCAGCAGCTCCGCTGCAAGCTGCCACCTGCTGCCATCTGTCATAGTTCATCAGTATCTGCTTTCAGGGGTCCCCATTTATGGAGGCAGACATCTTTGAACTACGGAAGCACAGAGCTGACAAACTAGTTACTGTAGAGAACGACATTACACTTGAATGTGAATCCAGCAAGTTAGGCCTGTGTAAAATGTACTGTAAACTGCACAGACTAATTAAAATCTCTAATACGATCTATGCAAACAAACCTTTTAATCAGTCAACAGAATAGGTGATGCGGATGTTGGGAAAGCTGCAGTCTGACCATTAGATATCGCTGACAATTACACACTGTAGCTTTAAGCGTGTGATAAAAAAAAAAAAAAAAAAAAAAAAAAAGAACAAAAAAAGAAACCGGTTCACCCTCTAAAAGGAAGCATTTCTATTGGTTTCATGTTATAGGAAACTAACCTGCAATACTTTAAGATAAAATAATGAATAAACCTTTCAGTACAATAAAACATGCTTTGTTATTTAATGCTAAAGCCACAATAACTAATGATCAACACGAGACAACAGAAAGCTTAGACATTTTTTAGCTGCATCAGGCCTTCTACTCTGATTCTATAAATAAAATCAAACTGAAATTCCATCAAATTTGAAGTCAACAATATAAATTTAGGAGAGAATCAACACAGAGAGGCATAAAATAATTACATCTAAGGCTCCGAGATTAACTCTGAGTGGAATCAATGACCAGCCTCTATGAGAAAATAAACACTAAGAGAATGCTGTCATAGTAAACCTGCTGCAAATCAAAGGCCTTCCCAAATCTAGTCTGGCAGGAAACAAGTTGCCGCCCATGTGTAGGGCCCTATAAAATCCGTTTTATATTTTCCCAAATTCCGTTTAATTTTTTCCCAAATTCCGCTTGTTTTGGTTTTAATTTTTGAAAATTCCGCTTTTTCCGTTTTATGTATGTATTTCTGCGCTTCCAATCAATGGAATGTTGACAAAATTTGCAAAACAATAGTTCACCTGACACGTAAAAGTATCGAGGGAACTGCTCAGCTCTGTACTCAGGGCTTAGCGCCGTGTTTCTCAACTTTTTCGCTGAAAGCGGAGCTGTGGAGAGCCGCTTCGCCATTTTTTCAATGTTTTGATGGGGGATGGTGAGCGGAAATGATGGAGCGGGAGGGGTTGTGTCGCCCAGATTTGCGTCCCCCGGTGTGCATTTCCCCCGACGTACATTCTTCTCCCACACAAAAACAGAATTTCATTTCAAATGTAGAAATTCCGCGTTTACACTAGATTCCGCATTCATTTGCCAGTTCCGCGATTCCGTGTTTAGCGGAAATTATAGGGCCCTACATGTGAAAAGACAACAGGATAATACAGTCCCCAGTTAAGGCCACAACCTCCTCTCTTACACAGTGGAGAGATAGAATTAGAAAAGTCCAGATTATGGAAAAAGCAACATCAAGACCACAATTTAAGATTGAGACCTTTGAAACAAAATGGTAGCCTAGTAAACTGACCCCAACTGACTGTGCTTTGAATTTTTGGATGAAAAGCGGGTGGAGTTTTGAGGGTGTGACAACAAAGCTGCGCGACACTGGAGAAAGCACAAGGAAGATGGCAACAACTATTGAACAGTAGCATGCTCTGCGGCAGCAGCAGCTTTCAATGGAGCGCTCTATTGAAAGTTAAAAGTTCTCTTTTCTGTTGCTGTAGTTCAATAAAAGTACATTTTAAGATCATTTGAGGCCAGAATATTATACTTTAAAGTGTCACTATATGGTCCATTTAGCGATTTAATGCGGAATTAAAAAAACAATTTCCAAAGTTGAGAGGACCGCGGCAACTAGTGGAGCTCTGAGGCTAACGGCAGCCAGGGCTAACCGCAGCCCGTCTGCAGTGGCCCTCTCTTGGCATAGTCGTGTGTGAAGGACCGCTGGCTCTGATGGTGATTTTTGACTCAGCTTTGGAATCAGTTTTGGAAGCATTAGGCTTGAGGTTTTTGTGGAAATGTGAGCAGGAAGAGGCTTTACGCTCATTAGTTTTTAAGAAGGACGTATTCGCAGTTTTACAGACAGAATGTTTGTTGAAAAGCCTCAAAAGCAAAATTTAAAGGGGGTCTTAAATTGTGTAAAAAAAAAAATTTAAAATAAAATATTTTTTTGTCACTAAATGTTTTTGTAATGATCTCAGAATATTGGACCCAGAACAGCGAACAGCGAGACAGGCAGTGGTAAAGTTCAAAGCGTTTATTTAATAACAGGTGCGCGGGGCTGCTCGTCTGCTGCGGGGCGGATCTCTGATTCAAATTTCAGTTTGTTCGCGGAGAACATCAGAATCCCGGAGGGTTTGACCGCAGTTGCAGCGGGCGTTGCCCCCCAGAGTTCCTAGAGAGCGAGCGGAGCTCGTTCCTAGAGAGTTCCTAGAGCGAGCGCCAGCCAATGCCGAGCAGCAACAGTCCAGAAGGGAAATCCAAGGCCGAAGTCAGAAGACAGTTCCAGGTTCAGAAGCCGGTAGAATCCAGAACCAGATACCACAAACAGAGCAGACAGGGGTAAGGCAAAACTCGAGATCCTCAGGGCAGAAACTGGTCACAATCGGGAATACAGACAGACTAAAGATTGCTAGGTAACGTCTCACAAAAATACACGAATAACCTGGTGCTGATGGGAGGCAAGCATACAACCTAAATAGGGGAAGAACCAGGTTGAAATGATCGGCGATAATCAGCCGCAGAACCAGTTAGACAGGGGAGAAAGGAGCAAAGGAAAAAACCAAACCATCAGCGCCAAGATTATGACAGTTTTTAAGCTCAACATGTCCAGTATTTAAAATTCAAAACATTTATTCACAAATATGTTCTGTTTTTTGCCAAGTGCAGCCAGCCAATCCTGCTCGCGTATGCAAATTAGCCATGTGCTTTTCCGCAGTTAATAACACGGGCAACGCGGAACAGATTGCGCAACGACAGCAGGTCTTCACTCCTGTTTGTGGACCTCAACGGACCTCCTCTGGACAAATTCAACCCAGTTTCATTCGTCAGAAACTGGATTAAAGCAGGACATGTACGTGCATGAAAGAGAGAGACAGACAAAGAGACAGACAGACAGA